GTTTCTTGTCAGGGGCCCCATCTGACATGCCAATATGCATTTCCACATAGTCCTTGAAGCTCCTTTTGCACATGTTTTGTCCTTATTGAAGGTCCCTATTTCAGCCACTCTGAACCAGAAAGTAGCTTTAGGAACACAAGTGGATGTTTAAAGAACCTTATTTATGTCAAGAAATATTTTGGTTGTTTCAAATCAACACTGATTGTTTCTTTTTTCTGTGATATCATCTTAAATTCTTGACCAGAAGCAAATAAAAAAATTTCTAAAACATTTCTCTATCAATAATTTCTGATAAAGCAATTTGCAAAAGCAAAAGCAAGTCAGGCAATGGAGTTTCTTAGTGAGGTTGCAATGCTACAGTAGTCACATAGAAAAAGGTTGGATGAGTCTTTTGATCCTTTTCCTTTCCCAAAAAGTGCTTTGGGAAACTGCTCCTTTTACTTGCTTTCTATATTCTTCATCTTTTTTTTCTTTCTATCATAGTAAACTACTTATCATGTGTGTATAAACAAACATGAGACCTATTAAATGCATGACTTGTTAACTTAACTTGTTTATTCATCTAAGTATAATAATAATTATCATCATTATCATACACTTTTTTTTTTATGTAAAACTAATTAATTGAACTCCTCCCATGATGTCACTTCAATATTTTTTTAACAAAAGTATAAGAGTTAAGATGGGAACAAAAAAAGATCACAAATTAAGCATCATAAAATATGATAATTATGTGGGCCATCCACATTCCCAAATAAAATAAGAAACTGACATACCTCATTCCTTACCAGACTGGACGATGAAGATAGTCTGTGAAAGCAAATAGTGGGACCCACACACAACGTTGATCCAACAACGAGACGGTAGAAACGGGAGTGACTCATGTCGCGGAATGGTAACGTAATGATCGTTGTACATGGAACAGCGGTGACCATATCGTATACTCTTCCGCTTTCCCTTATCGCACGCGACCGGAGAACAAATGCGAAAAGGACGGTATCGATAAACCGCCCTATAAATACCGCATAAGCTCTTCCTCTTCCTCCCCTAACAAACCCCTTTCGGGTCTCGGCTTTGGAGTTCGTCGTTTTGGGCGGCAGAGATGTCTTTGAGCGTCGAACAGCATGACGACAACACCTTCACCGTCACCTTCAACGATTCCGATCACATTTACACCACCGTCACCGCTTCCGGGTCCGACGTCGAGGAGTGGATCGACGAGATCCTCCGCATCCACCGCCGCCGCCTAAACCGCCTCGTCGTCGGCCTCGACGCCGAGTGGCGCCCCTCCTTCTCCCCTACCCAGAACCCCGTCGCCGTCCTCCAGCTCTGCGTCGGCCGCCGCTGCCTCCTGTTCCTCCTCCTCCACGCCGACTACGTCCCCTACTCCCTCGCTGACTTCCTCGCCGACCACCGCTTCACCTTCGTCGGCGTCGGCGTCGACGGCGACGCCGAACGCCTCGACGAGGAGCAGAACCTGCAGGTCGCCAATGCCGTCGACCTCCGCACCCTCGCCGCGGATAAGATGGGGCAACGAGGGCTCAAGAACGCGGGGCTCGCCCGGCTCGCGGCGGAGGTGATGGGCTTGGAGGTGTGGAAGCCCAAACGGGTGACGATGAGCCACTGGGACCGGAGGTACCTCAACTACGAGCAAATCTCCTACGCCTGCTCCGACGCCTTCCTCTCGTTCGAGATCGGGAGGCGCCTCTTTGCCGGGGAGTTCTGATGGACCCCATGGTAACATCGGATCTCTTCTTGGCTTCGTTTTGGGGGCCTCCTGAACTGCCGATATTAGGGTTTCAGATTAGGTGTGATTGTAGGTGCATCTTACGAAGGCTTTGGATCGTATTTAAGGGGTTTTCTAAAGCAATGGTCTATGATCATATTTTAGCTTTAGCATCTTTCTTTTGCTTATGTTATGCCTAAACCTCTATATGTCTACTGAAGACAACAACTAAGACATAAGTGTTATCAGGTAAATGATTGCAGCTTGCAAGGTTTAAAGTATTTATAGGAATAGTTGTCTGTAGTTAAATTAATGCCTCTATAGCTTTTAGTCTATGGTTTCTTTCTGTTTTATTTCAACTTTTAAACATCAATAGGTTGGGAAGAATCCTCTGTATGTACAGTTTGTTTATTTGTTTTTATGATATAGTTATTGAATGTTTGCTGGATCTTCTTGGTTGGTAACAGATGTGCTCATTATTGTCGTCTCAAGAAGGATATCCTGGAGCTTCTCATACATCTTCACAAAATGTTTTCATGTAGCCCATTTCTTATCATAAGCATGAACTCCAGGTCTAGATTTAGACTAATTTCAATTCATTGCTATGAACAGGTCATGGAAGCTTCTCTAGAAACTTTTAAGAAGCAGATTTGTCTTGATAAAATGTTATTTTGTCTTTAGAAATGCCTTACTTGGAACAGTGGGTTTAGGTAGTTAATTGCAACATGCTCGTAACAAAACCATTCTATTCTCCTCCTGGAATCCTGATTCTTTAGGAATTTAGATGCTAAAACTATGTTTGGGCTCTTTCCTGTTCGATGATACAGAAAGATAATTTGAAGTACTACAGTCTTTTTCTTGTGAGTGGGTTGACTGGTCTTAAAGAACTCTTCCATGGCAGTTCACATATACCAGGAAGTTATGTTGTGCTGTATCTAACATGGGATATTTATGGGCGTAGGTAGGTTATTGTTGTTTGATGTCTGGGATAAGTGACAGACGAACAAATCATTGACAGTTAAGTAGGATACCTTTCCTATAACCACTGGGAAGCGATGTGAAAATAGGATCTCATTTGCAAGAACAATTCCTAAATTGTCTTGATTAGATGATCTTAGCAGTAACCATAATCTCTGTACTTTTAAAAGATCCATAGGAGCTTTTGATTGTAGGGGTGTCATCCAATTAACCTTAGATGTCGCTTACTTACATTTGGGATTTCTGGGATTTAAGCCTTACAGTTATCAGCATTTGGATCAGTCAATAAACTAGTGGCAATTATCTATCATCATAGCTGCAGATTAATTCATTCTTTGGGCCAACTAACCAGACTTGCATGGGTTGCTTGCAATCGTGCAAAGTCACTTTGTTTGATAGGTCAACCAACAGCAATAGTTCAGTAAAATTTGTAGCCAAACATTGTACAAGAGATGCAATAAAGCTGTTTTGGCTTGATTCAACATAGATTGTACAAGGAGTCATGTATGTTACTCTTTTTTAAGATCCGAATGCAAGTGATCATTCTGGATTGTTTGTCAGCTGTCTGACTCAAGTGGTTCTCATGACTGGCATCTTATCTCTAATATACCACAAAGTGAAGATAAGATTTGTCCTTATGATCATGATTCTGTCATGTCTGGGGTATTTTAGCAGTTAATTCTTGAGGTGCCATTGTTTGTAAGCCTTTGCCTGTCAAAGATGCAATTATTGGATGGACCAGGTTTACCACAGACCACTCACTCTCACATTGATTTGAGACCCGCAGATGGTTGCGAAAGGGTTCTACAGTATAAAGGCAGGAGTCTTAATCAAAAGGACTCTCTAACTGACTAGAACCACATGATAATGCATTCCATACCCCTGTTTCTTTTGATAATTACTTAATTGCATTTTTTTTGTTTTGTTTTAAGAAGTTGCTGTTTAGGAGTAACAGTTCTGAGCATGTGAAGAGTTAACTAATCTACTTTAATATTTGTAACATGGTAGTGCATATCTGTCAGCTCTGTCGATTACATGGCAGCATTATAACTCTGATGATTTTGTCACTGCAAATTATATATATATTTCTGTCCGTTACTCATCTGAATGAAGCAATTCCCTCTTTGATAGGCTTTTAATGTCTACTACATACTGCAAAATGAAGAAAACGTTGTTCTTGTGATTATCATCAGTTTTTAGGGATTTTATCTTATAAGTTTCTAAGTACCATGTTCTCAAATTGCCTGCTTTGTCTTTTTTGTCCTGATTGATGTTAAGATGAGTAGCACCTGCAAGACTTTCATTGAGAAAGCAATGCTAAGGTGAAGCTTGATACAAAGAGGATGCTTACTGAAAAAAGCCACGTGAAGTTGCATATATTACCTCCTTTTAATTTTCATGAGAACTGATTTCGAGCTTTTTGTAACCTGCCACTGTCTTTTGTCCTTGTGAATTGTGAACTGATCTTAGAAATTGTAAGAAAGAAGCTACTGCGTTTTCTGTCATTAGCTTATGAACTACTTACTCTCGGCAGCATTGTAGCATTGATGAGTCTGTCTTAGTGTCGTATTGATGAAGCTAGGTGTTCTTTGAGTTGCCTTTTGTTTCCATGGCTTCTCTTGATCTCAGGTTGTGTTTGACATTAAATCTTGCGGCCACGATGACACATGACAAGCCATAGTCTTTTTCTTTGAACATCCATTGTAAAACCATTATCAGACCTGAAGGTTCTTTTTGTTGGTAGATCCATAGGTCATACATAGAGGCGTTTGTTTAGTCATAATAAAATAGAAAAATAATCATCTGTTCGTTTGACATTGATATTTGGATTAGCTTCGTCCATCCTCCAAAAATTTTGCCACCAATGATTATGTTAGAGTTGATATAAATTGAGCTCTTTCCCCAAGCACAAGTTTTTCATTATATTTTGTTTGGTGTTGAATTAATATTTGTACAGTATTGATTGGTTTTCACCATATGTTTGGGTTCATTGTGAGGCCTAATCATTCCTGTTAATGTATAAGTTTAATATTAGTAGTTTAACCTTTTGGAATTAATGATGGACGTTTACCATAAAAAAAAGAGCTTACTATTTAAAGGCTCTACTTACTATTCACAAACTCTTTACTTATTATGATTCTTTAAAAAATTAAAAAACTAATATTTTATTATTTACAACCTCTTTTGTCTTATTTTTATCCCTTTTTTGTTTCTTGTTTTCTTTCACCTTAGCTTTATCTTTGTACATTATTGTGATCGGCTCTCCCCATTGCCCGTGTATCGAATTGTGTAATTTGTAAAGACTTAGAAACATAATATTGAAAGATGATATTTTTAGGTTAATATAATTGATTTAGAAGATGGTGTTTTTGGGTTATTATAAAGTGTACATAATCTTAAAAATATTATATTATTATAATATATGTTGAAAAAAAAATTCGTGTCATCTTCTTTTATCTTTAGTGTCTTTTTTTATCATTTAACGTGGAGTGAAAAGATTTTATTTGTTAGAATTAAATTATAAATTAAGGATATATATTTATTTGCAAAAGGATAATTTAGAAATATTTAAAGTTGTTAATTTGAGATGGTAAATGACAAAGAAAAAAGGGATTGCAAATAATACTCTCGAAAACAAAATCAATCTTTTATTAGGCTTTTATCAAAATGGTCATGGATAAAACTATAAACAAGGCATTTAGTATGAAGTTTCATTTTAATTGACTTTTGTAATCATTTCTGGTTATAATTATAGGTTGTGTGCAATCATCATGTAGAAATAAAATTATCCATAAATATATTATTCAAGTAATCATTTTGAGGGTTTATTTAGTTTCATAGAATGGTACAGAGTGTTAACCAACATAACACCTAGAGTTACCCAATTGGCATATGGTTAAAATAAGCTTTTGGGATAGTGTCTAGTATCAATTTGCTATCTTGTTCCGTAATAGTGTCATGTGAGCACTTATGGGGACTTCTGGTTGCGACGTATTGTCACGGATAAAATTCTAAACATGATGTCTGATGTAATGCTTATATATATTCGTGTCTTTTGGTTTGTTCATACTTTGTAAAGCATGTAGAGGGATGATCGAAGGCTTAACAGTCCCATTTTAGTTGGGTTTGGTAGCCGCTTGTAAATAAAAGTTATGTCATGTAGATATTTGTGAGAGATAT